GGGGTACAGTCCCACACACACTGACTCTCACTGGGGTACAGGGTCCCCCACACACTGACTCTCACTGGGGTACAGTCCCTCACACACTGACTCTCACTGGGGTACGGCCCCACACACACTGACTCTCACTGGGGTACGGTCCCACACACACTGACTCTCACTGGGGTACGGTCCCACACACACTGACTCTCACTGGGGTACGGTCCCACACACACTGACTCTCACTGGGGTACGGTCCCACACACACTGACTGTCACTGGGGTACGGCCCCACACACACTGACTGTCACTGGGGTACAGTTCCACACACACTGAGTCTCACTGGGGAACGGCCCCACACACACTGACTGTCACTGGGATACACCAGGGTCCCAAGACTGGAACACGGAGATGAGGACATATTATTCCACCAGCTGGGTGATGGTTACCCTTTGGGCATGGGTTTCAGGAATGTTTGTTTTTGTTGGAGCAAGAGCTGAACTTTGGAAAGTACAGTGTTTGTCAACACAGTGAGAATGAGTGTGATTGTCCCTCGGAATCAGGGAGATTATGTCACTATAGCAGTTAACAAATCCTGCTGTCAAACATTGCTGCCATTCTGCTGGTGAGGCAGGGTGAGGGGTCAGGCTGGCGAGGCAGGGTGAGGGGTCAGGCTGGCGAGGCAGGGTGAGGGGTCAGGCTGGTGAGACAGGGTGAGGGGTCAGGCTGGTGAGGCAGGGTGAGGGGTCAGGCTGGCGAGGCAGGGTGAGGGGTCAGGCTGGTGAGACAGGGTGAGGGGTCAGGCTGGTGAGGCAGGTTATATCCGAAGTCAATGAATCAGGAAATTGAACAATTGTTCAGGATTGCAGCCACCAGTTTGAAACCGAGAATGAGTAACTGGTCAGTAGTTGTGGCAGTGTTTTCTGGATAGCCCATCGAAGAGATTAATGTCCTTCTCACAGAGATGGCTGAGCTCAGGCTCTCTCTAGGGCCATCTCGCTGATACATTAACATTTGTGAAAATCTCTCTTGTTTTGGAACGTCCAAGTCTGGTTTTGCATTTCTCTCCAGGCGAGTTTCTCAAGGAGATACTGTTGGTGGGTTTAGACAGTCTGGGTTTCACGGGGAGAAGGTCGTTGTGCTGTCTGTGTCAGTGGCGATGGAGCCACGTTTACTGGTCAAAGTGGCCTTGAAGTTGGTGTATTTAATCAGCTTCTCAGTGCTCATGCAACCCATCTCCTTCATCAGTTTCAACAGGTCATTGCGGAACTTGACTCCGATGAAGGCATAGAGGAACGGATTGAGGCAACATCTGACATAAGCCAGGCTCTTTGTCACATCGATAGCTATGTTCATTCGCTTGCTCACATCACATTTGGTGACTGTGGCATTAACATCATTGATAGTGTCTATTAGCATCACACTGTTGTAGGGTAACTGAAACAACAGGAAGACCAGAACCACAGCAAAGATCACTTTGATGGCTTTGTTCTTTTCAAAGTTCCTGGCCAATAGTAAGGTCTTAATAATTACACAATAGCAGAACAGCATGACTACAAAAGGGATAAAGAACCCCACAGCCAACTGTGTGCCAGCTGTGAGGACAATTGTGCTGTTATCCAGGTTCATTTTGCACAGCAGACCATTCTCACTCTGCTTCTGGTCACTGTAGAGCAGCTCAGGCATGGACAAAAGAAACGAGAATAGCCAAACACAAACTGAGACAATCTTACTGTAGTACACAGCCTTGGAGCGGTGCCGATGAGCTGAAGCAGCTCGGACAATGGAGAAGTACCTGTCAATGCTGATACACATGAGTAGCAGCATGCCACTGAAGAAGCTGACACGATACAGCACATAGACAGCTTTACACATCACTTGACCAAAGATCCACTGCTTGACCACACTGACAGCCCAAAAAGGTAAGGTGAAGAGAAACAGCAGATCAGCCAGGGCAAGGTTCAGGAGGTACACGTCAGTCATTGTCCTCAAGCGCTTGAAATAAATGTAGGTGACGACAACCAGTCCATTGCCCAGGAGGCCGAGCACAGTGATGACAGTGTAAATGGCTGGCAGAAAGGATTGGCGGAAAGACCGAACATCAGACTTTTGGCACCACTGCACAAACCCATCATAATCCACAGATTCCAGATCAGCCGTCGAGTCATAGTCATCATAAACGGTATTCATCAAAGTAGTTGATTCCAGTGGGGGCTCGGTGGAGCAGCTACCAAGCTGTAACAGAGAACACCACCCGTTCAGGAAGATGGAAGCAATTGTCATCAAACCACGCACAGCAGGAATATCACCCACACACTGACAGAGAAACTGACAGCCACAAACTCCACCAGGATCAACAACTCATCAGTGGGATTGTGTAACTCTGCACCCCAGTGAGAGTCAGTGTGTGTGTAACTCCATACCCCAGTGAGAGTCAGTGTCTGTGGGACCATACCCCAGTGAGAGTCAGTGTGTGTGGGACCGTACCCCAGTGAGAGTCAGTGTGTGTGGGACCGTACACCAGTGAGAGTCAGTGTGTGTGGGACTGTACCCCAGTGAGAGTCAGTGTGTGTGGGACTGTACACCAGTGAGAGTCCGTGTGTGTGGGGCTGTACCCCAGTGAGAGTCAGTGTGTGTGGGACCGTACCCCAGTGAGAGTCAGTGTGTGTGGGACTGTACCCCAGTGAGAGTCAGTGTGTGTAACTCCGTACCCCAG